CGGCGAATTTGCATATGGTTTCAATAATGTCTTGGACTTGCCTGAAAGCGGAAGCTGTCTGGTATGAAATAGTCTGAATATATTATTCCTGAGTGGCTAAGATCCAACGGTGTCCTAATATAGCCTCAAACCATTAATTTCTCTCATCAATGAGAATTCAAGAGTCATTATTGAATAAGTAAACTTTCAATCCGAAATAGATGAGCAGGTATGGGACCTCAACCTGAACTCATATTCACAGCTGAATGATTAAAAACCTTTATTTATTAATAATCATGGAATTCTTACAGCAAAGAACAAACCACTTCATATTTCCTACAGCTGTGGTTTCCAGGCGAGCAACTGACCCTACATTTTCGGGTTGCTGCGATATGAGTATTAGCAGTCTAGATAGAGTAATAAGTGGATGGCCACAGTAGGCAATTTAGTAACACTAAACAGTAGCAATATATAGCTTCGAATTTTCATTTCATTTCGGAACGATTTTGGCAGTACTGGTAACGGTACACTGGCAGCAAAACAAAAACATAACCTATATGATCTTTCGATTTTCAATGTTTTGTTTTGAAGGTTTTTATTTTCATCATTCTTATTATTATTATCTCCTCTACTCACGTTGAAATTATGAATGGAGTGATTAATCCAGTGCCTCTAGAAAATACCATTCAGAATCTTTTAGCCTCTAACAGGGTTCCTTATGGCAATGACCCGCGAAAACGTTGCCAGCAAATTTCAGTTAAATCAGTTTTCTACGTTTTGGCAAAGAATATAGGTAAGAATATAGGTTAGTCACCAAGAAGCTCCACTTCAAATGCGCGGGAAAACTGACAAATGACCTTGAATTTTTACTACGATCAGATGTCAGCTGTATGTTTACTGTTTGTCAACTAATTTCTTCTCATAGATTTGGCAAATTTTTCAACAGTGACAAAAGTGGATTTAATCTGCACAAAAGCGATTATTATTTTTATAGACTTGTGTTTTTCTGCTAAGTTCCAGTGGAATCATCATTATTTTTCGTTTCTTGTTATCATTTTACATAACCTCAAAATATTGTGGTATAAGTGTAGGTATATTTGATTTTTTCTAGTGTCTAGGGTTGCTGAGGTAGAAATGATATATTTTTGTAGATAAACTTGGCAATGGGGAGACCTGGAGGACTAAAATGTGCAGTCAAAGACTGCAAGAGTAAGTACTTAGATAATAATCAACATACACCATTGAGATTTTTTAGGTTCCCTAATCCTAGGACCCAAGAAGTGAGAATGAATTCATGGCAACTGGCGTGCAATGATGAATTGATCAGGGCTACTGATCCTATGAAATTGTATGGAAGCATGAGAATTTGCAGTCTACATTTTGAGGATCATTTGATAGAAAAGCACAAACTGAAAGAAAATGCTGTTCCTATACTAAACTTGGTGGTAAAATGGTCCTGATTTTATTGTATTTTACATACTTACACTTGATCTTATAGGTATTTTTATCAGGCTCCATACATGAGGAGCATTCATATTTTAGTGATGAAAATATAGAAGTAGGTCATTTTATGGAAATAGATGATAGCTCTGAAGATGGGATGGACACAAGAGCAAGAAGCATTGGTACCCAAACAGAACCAGATATGGTGGACACAGGAACACAGACACTTGTGCAGAAGTCTGATTCTCAAGTGCAGACAGAAAAGCAACTTTCAGCTATGACACCAAGAAAAATCAAATTAATCAAGAAAATAAATGTGGTATATTGAAAACTATTTCCTACATTTTACTGATTTATTTTGTTATTGATTTGATTAAAATCTTCATTCGAAATGATGGTTATTTTTATTTCATATGTGCAAACCTACCTTGAATACTGAAGGAAATAATTTCAAGGAATTTCTTAAATGATTCATTTTATTTCCTTCAGTAAGACTGAGCAGAATGATTCATCAGCTTATGGAAAAATAAGATGAATTGAAGATGTTCATTTAGAAGATATCCTGAGATTTGTTCCTAACCTAAAATTACAAAGAGAAATTCCACATTGCACATAGGTAAATGATGATTTATCGTTCACAAAAACAAAATATCCTCATGTCCTGCTTAAGTTTCTGATTCATTGGCAAGTCAAAATAAATTATTATTAATTTCTATTATTCCATTGACACTTGTAAATAAACTATTCTAAGGTAGATTCACAATGTCCACCTAATTTTGTAGAATCGTGTTGTGATTGGGTGAACATACATTTACGCGACGGCTGTCAATCTATCCACCAATGAGGATTTGATACGTTGAACGCGGATCGCTTACTTGTAAGTTGTAAGCGCGCCTTCAATACGTATGTCAGTTTCAAAAAATCAATACTTCAACCTGCTTCCAACCAATGAGCGGAGCGTAACCCATCGTGCCAGTTCATTCATTTGGGTTATTTCAAGGTCATCATCTAAGTTTCACTATTTCATTCATAAATACTCCAAGTATTCTTGACCAGTGAAATATGAGTCGTGTTATTAGTCGTGTACGTTTTCAAAGCGAGCGTTTACAGCGAGCGCTTTTATTCCACCCGTTTTGTATGTTCGTTTTGTTGACTTGTGACGTGTGTCATGGAATATTTTTATTGAAGAGATAGGTGAACATACAGTAGCGTGGAAATCACTATGATGATTTGGGTTACAAACAATTTATCAAAATGTTTCGTCTCTCTGAAGAATAGGTTCAATACCTAATGAATATTACCTCTGATTTTATTACATGACCTGCACATTGTGCTCAATAAGATTTGGATATCTTCACGAAAGTGGGTTGGACCGTTACCACAGGCCTGCATGCTCCGTGGGTGACGTCACTTAGTCAGGCCTAACCAGCGGCTCGAAACGACAAGCGCTATAAGGCGACCGCGTATTTCGATTTTAGTTTTAGATCATTATTGAGCCGATTTTGCTTTTTTCTTTGAAGGGCTTCCGGTTGAAAGAGGATGCCAGCCGTCAACTGAGCCCTTCTTCGCATCCCATTCGATTTTATTATGGAAAAACGAAGTTTCAAAGCAAAGACCAAAATAAAACACAAATACCCGCACCTACAGCAACCCATTCGAATTGAATATATTGGCAAAAATTATAGTGAAAATGTATTTTAGTTTGATTGACATGCCGTTTGTTATACCTAATTACCTATATTTATCTTGGAGAATTCCTATTACCTAAAAAATTAGCCAGTGAGTGTTTTCAATTTCCTGTTGTTGGATTTTTTACCCAATTGGTCGTTAGACTTGAAACAGTAATTTTTAAGTAGAGTGTTTGTAGTACATGTTAATATAATAGATAATAGTTGCAATTTGATCATTGGAATGAATTCTGCATTCATTGCCACGAGGCAAATGACCGTTTTCAGAAAGAAATTTGAGAATGTATTGAGTCAGAAACCAAAGGGTCCAATGCATTCGAAATATGTTTCAAACCCCTCTTTTTCTGATTATCAAGACATTTTCCCGAATTATGTATCTCGTTTTTATCTATTTCAATTAGTAATTCCTTGATTTGATTGATATTATTAGAGATAAAAGGTGTTTTCAGATTGGCTTTTAGAGATGTTTGTATCGCTAGGTTATACAAAAATGATTCCACATTCAAAACAAAATCAATCACAACCGAATATGTAATTACGGGCCCTGGAGAATAAGACAATTTGAATAATGTGACTTTTTGCAAATCGATAATTTTGAACCACTTTTCGGGCAACTGAAAAGACTCTAGTACAACTAGAAATTCTTGAAATTCTGTGTAGCAAAATGATTTTTGGTAATTTTCGAATTCAGTTTTACTTTTGGTAAGTGCTTGTGCCAAATTTTTAGTCTCTAGTATCTCAAGTTTTTCATCACGACTTGTGCGTAATTTTACATCTTTCGATAAATAAGATGGACAGTTGGGAAATTGAGTGGGAATAACATCTCGTTTGAGCCTAGGAATTTTCAAATCTATTGTTACAGTTTTGCCAGTTTTTGAATCGGTTGCAGTAGATGAAGTAATAATATCATCTTTAGTAAAATGTAATTCACATACTTTACTGTACTTAGATGGAGTCGTAAAATCCTTGCGGTGAATTGCATGTACCCACTTTTTCGATAGTTCCTTGTCCAACGGGAAACTAAAAGCATGAACTTTTGGACCACCCACATAATTCACCCGACAAAAGGGAACACAACACTTGTAAGGCATATTGTTATTTCGCCTATCACAACACGAAATATTTCACAAAACAGTAATTTCTCCGACAATGGGCGTGTACACCTTAGTAGAACTTTTAACTCAAACCATGTTGATAACGATCCTTTTATACATAAATAATGATTGACGACATAATTCGATCGAAAAATTAACTGGAATGTTTCATTTTTGGACATAAATAATAGTACCTTCTGAAAACGGACCCTCTTATGACGTAGAAACCTCATCTCGTCATAGTTAAAAGAAAATACCAAACGCCCGACGAATACTGAGGCAACTGATATATTAATTCTTTCAACTGTGATCTCGCGCTAATTCACTCTGTCAGAAATTATGTATCATTCATCTCTGTCTGGAATAGTCTTGTTTCAGTATTAGGGTTTTGACGTCACATCATCGCCTCGTTTTCAGAGGTCCGAAAAATAGGGGATTTCGATGATTCTTTATAAAACGTAGGGAGCTCACAGCAAGAAACGGTTTGCGGTGGTGAGCTAGTTTAGGTGAGTTCTATCAAATTATGAAATAATTTTTTTTTGTGATATGAGCCCATTATTTTGATGAATAAACAACAAGAGAATTCGAGCACACACGCGATTTACCTACGTCACCGTTCTTAAACAAAAACAAACTGACGATCGATCGACGCGAATGCCTTATTGGAAGATGGCCTGAGTATGCGACGTCACGAGCTGTTTACGTTAGAGTCTGCTGGCCTTGTTTTATCGGTGGTAACGCTATAAGTCGGTGACTGTGGCCTGTCAGCAATATCGGACTACGAATCGGAACAAAACTACTATCTAGGGAGTGAGCATTACAAGTTAATGCATTTGGCGGTAAATTCAAATTGGAAGTCTACAGACAATTTTCGAAGGAGCACTTAAATTCAGACTTCTTTCACTGAATTCAGACTGTTCAGTGCGGATATTTTCAAGAAACCAGCAAATTGAATAACAAATCAAAATAAAGATATTTCAGATGGTTTTGAACTTAATAGAGGATTGAAACTTAGATTTCATGGATGAACCAATTTCTTTGGGGGTATGAAAAATAGGAAACATGAGAGGTTCTGACACTGTTTTAATGTACTTCTGAAGCTAACCATAAGCAGACAAAGGTTGCAGTCTTCCATATACTTATATAAAATGTATGATCCGAAAAATTCAAAAAAATCAAATATTCCTTGACATAAAGTGTTAAAGATAATTAATAGAAAAGGGTGAATTTGCTAGTTCTTTCATCATATAATAATCTTAGATATGTTATTCCTATAGCAAGTCAAACTACATAAAGGCACCCCAGTTTGTGAACAAGAATATTTCTTCAAGTTCCCACACCCCATCCCACAATGAATAACCTTTGAAGGTTCAGGTGCTTTTAGGGCTTTCAAGGGGAAATCAATGCCATCAGGAAATGACATTACTGTAATTTGACCATTTTGTTTATAAGTAATAGAAGGGATTGAAGTTTTGGCAACTCTAGGTTTTGCCTGTTTTGCAGCTTTTGAGTCTTGCTTTTTCAACAATCTCTCCATGGTTTTCTTTTTATCTTTCTCACGTTTTTCATCAGCCAATTGTTTTCGTTTCAAGGACTTAATTGCTGCTTTTTGAATGGCCTCAGCAGTCATAACTTTCTCCTAGAAGAAACAATGTATTGTGCTGGATATTAAATATCACAAAACCATGAATAAAAAATGCTTTACTTTATATCCTGTAGGCAAGGACATCAATGTAGGAGTAGCAACAGAAGAAGTCCCCTCCCCTGCCCTGTCATACATGGCCCTTTGTCTAGCTGTCATGAGGGCTGGGTCTTTTGGTTTAATTTTTTTCAACTCATCATCTACGTCTTCTAGCTTTCCTGATTCAATGGCAGTCAACCATCTTTCTTCATCACTGGAAGCACTATCTCGTTTTTTTCTTTTTTTATTGTTTGGTATTCCAGGCAAGGCAGGTGATAGTTTTGTAGAAGTTGAAGGCTTCTGTTTCAAGGCAGGTACTGTTAAAACTACTAATGTTTCATCAACAATCAGCAGGTCACTAGAAGATGATCCATCTTCTGACAGAGAAGGTTTAGACTTTTTCTGCTTGTTGGATTTTTTGCCTGGCCGTTTTGGTGATGGTATATCTTGATCTAGAAAATATCCATAACTTTGTTTCCAAGACATGCATTGAACAAAACCTACCCATATTATTTCAGAGGTAGTAAATATATTCAGTTCTTCAGGTCGTCCAACAAATGAAAATTATATCCATGACTATTAGAGATAGAGAACAAATCAAAAATTTCAAAAGCAGAAATAAACTCGACTCTGTGATTCCACCAAAATTGCCAAATAGGTACAAACGCAGAAGACATTTTTTTTATTGACTCGGAAGTAGAGAGCTGTGTGAAAATGGCAGCCAAAGATAGCAGCCAAAATCTCCGAACATTGCCGAAGATCCAGTGGCGGACAATATGCTTTTTTTTCATGCCTTCAAATACAAAACAATATTTTGAGGGTATTATATAATTATAAAGAACTGCTGGACAAAATCAACATACCCAATGAAGTAATCAAGTAATTGACGATTTGACCATAGAAACAATCCCTGCAACACCTATCCAGAATAATACCTATATGGATAAATCCAACCAAACACATAAAAAAATTATTTTGAGGGTGTAAAAATAAAAAACTTCTCGATGGCATAGGGTAGGAATCATTCAAACAGACCTAAGGAACGATTTGCCTATCGAAAAAATTCCCGCAACCCCTACCGAAAAAAATATATCATATTCAACCCCCTACATGAAAATTTTTTTTTTAGTGTGTAAATGGAAAACTGCTGCGAGACACAGGGAAGGAATCATTCAAACAGACCTAAGGAACGATTTGCCTATCGAAAAAAATCTCACTGTCAACATTTGGTAAACAATCATTTCCGATAGGCCCGTTTCACGCAAATAGAATGACGTTAATTTCATTCTGTGATATACTTGTACGCTCTTTTTCTGAATACAGCTGTAAATGGTTGGTATATGGTATATGGTTGGTGCACACTTGCATAATAATAGGGAGTTAAAGCCAAAACAAAAACTTCCAATTACGTATAGACGTAAACGTGAATAGAAATACGTACGTATTCAATGAAAAGTAACGTTAAAGCTACCGTATGGTACGTACATACAAGATACAAGACCAGACTCATTTTAACCCTATTTTACTTTTTCATTCAATTATTTTGATTTGTTAGTCTTCGCTTGCTTTGATATTTGTTGCTGCAAACCTGCAAACCCTTCGTTGCAAAATGGAAGGGATTTTGATATTCGAAGCTACAAATGATAGCGATGCTAGTAGTGACGATGACCTAGATGATATGTTCATCCTTCATGTACTGAATGAGAACGACAATTTAGGTAATCGAAGGGAATTATATAGAGATATCAATTAAAACAATTTATTTGAAATAGAATGTAAAAATCTATTTCGATTTGCGAAAAATGACATTCCAAGATTAGCTAGAGCCCTAGGATTCCTAGGAATACCAGGAAGCTATAAGTTTTCCAGTAGTTTACATTATATTCATTTGGATGAGGGATTATGACCTACAACTTCCCTTGCTAGATGCGAATCATCTTCCAAAGAAAAGAGAATTCTTTCATTTGAATTATCCATGATTTCTTCGAAGCACAACACAAGAACGAAGCGCAATGAAAAATAAATGTGATTTCATGTGATAAAAGTGAGGTTAACGCCTTCGCGTTCAGCGCCAGCGTAGCAATACGTAAACATACGTCGGACGTATCTCCTGGCGTAGGAAATTCGCACACTGCGCATGCTTAGATGTCAAATTCTACGTTTACGCTTACGCATTCTGCATTGCTTTAACTCCCTATTATAATGCATTATCTAATACCATCCAGTGACTCTAAATGCATAGTTTGAAAGCCAGAATGATGGATGTAGTCTGCGGCAGCTGTTGGGAGGCACTCGTGAACTATTCACCACAAAACAAAGACATGTCAATTGTCTTTTGTTTGGTCGAAGTGTCATTGAAACATCAATAAAAATAATCTTTAATTTCCATATTTTTATATCTATCTGTTGTATTTTTTTTGAAAAATAAATCTGATCAATTATTTTTATCGAGTACATGTAGTGTGATGGCTGATCCACGTATAAGAACATTAAAAATCAAAACAGGTGTTGTAAAGAGGTTAACCAAGGAAAAAACTGTGTATGAACGTGAAGCAGAACTACAAAAAACTCGTGTTGAGAAATTTAAGGAACAGAAGAAAGACGAATATGACATCAGAAAGCAAGAAGAAGTATTAACTGAGTGTTTGATGATGGTACCAGATTGTCAACGAAGACTATTAACTGCTTTTGAAGACTTGAAGACTATTCTTGAAACTGAACAAGATTTGAAGGACACTGAAGACTATTTATCAGCTCAAAAGGTGGTGGAAGACGCAAGGTTGCATTTACCTAAGGCTGGTGAACTCCACATGTGTTAATTTTACTCATAATTTTACACTTCTTTCAACGACCAGTGATTATTATAAGCTATTACTAACTTTCCTCAGAATGAATTTCTTGAAATATCAAAATTTTGTGAGTCGAACCACAAATATTGAACTACCTATAATTACTGATCCAAGGACTAATATATTACAAACATTGTATAGCCAGACTAATGATGAGCTGTGGATTGAATCTTGGTTGCAGCAGAATGCTATTTATCATTCTATTCCCAAGATTAAAATCAACAAAGGTGAGTGTATTACATTTTGTATTCAGTGTGTCCCAGGTCTAACTTGTCTCACTATGACTTGAACTATGAAATCCATTGCAAAAAGAGAGTGAAAAGGCTGTGGTCTAGTCCACATACTATACTTTTTTGTTTGGTTTCAAGCTTCAACACAAAATTGCTCTTGTTCTACTGTCTTTGATAAATCAATGAGGTACATTGTATGTCTACCTACTTATCTCACATGAAATGTCAAATTTCAAGCAATGACAGCTTTGTCTAATAGAACATTAGTTGAGAGGAGAAAATCAGATGGCAACAAGCTCAAGGAATGAAAAATGTTCTTATTATCTGTTACAGCCCTAGAAAAAGTATAGGATATAACTTGCATGAAATGCTAATTTTGCCTATGCCAAAGTTCAATTTTCATCACCAGTGTGAAAATTTGTGGCACCAGCCTGTAGGGCAAGTGTAGCAAAGACAGGAGTGAGAAATAGTATATTGTTCAAGGAGCACCAAATGATAGCCAAAGCTGTAGGCAGACACTGCAATCATTCCAGTAGGAAATTAGCATTCCAATACCTACCTCCTGTCCCTATCCTCCCTAGCCCTTTCAGTCACGACTTTTCATTTTTTCAGTAAAAAATTTTTCGTGAAAGTGAGGGTTGAAGTGATTTTTTATATGATTTTTGAGAATTTTTTGAAGTCCGTACGGCCTTGATTTTTCTAAAAAAAATTATGTTCGTTTCAACGAACATGGTGACTATGAGAAGGAAAGGAAATAAATAGCTACAACATTGTGGATTATTTCATATGGTAATCCTTGAAACAATTACGATCACGAGCAATACATAAATGTACACTACATTTCATACAATTAAAATGTGTTTTTTTGAGGCAAGCTCCATTATTGCACCTTGCTAGATCCCTACTTCCATCAAATATTGGTAAATGGCCCACTTCATCCAGTCACCATGTTCGTTCTAACGTACATATGATTTTTCTAGAATTAGTGTATAAAAAATATGATATTTGATCATTTCGTTTTTTATATATTATAATAAACATATGAGGCATTGAAAAATAAATTTTGGAACTCAAATTCACTTACTATTTTATCAAAACAAACACGAGAAATGTGTTCATGAACAATAACAGCTGACTCACTGTACATACAGAAAGTAAATAAGCGAAACTTGTATAATATCCCGAGAGATAGTGCTACCTAGGGTCCCTTGATGAAAATTGACGTTAAAGTCAAATAAAGTCATCTTAACAGGGTATGGACAGATCATAGCTGCATTCTTTTTTAATGATGTAGAGACTTTAGTTTTGTCTACTGGCATCCCTGACATTGCTGTCACGTCACATCCATGGGCGCTACAAATTTCAATAATAGGTATGTACAGGGTGTTTACTTGTTGAAGATCATATGGCGAACGAGTTTTGTAATTATGATCCGATTCTATTCAAAATTGGTATCTGGGGGTTTCCGAGGTAGGAGATAATGATCGTTTCGTCAAAATTGGGAAATTCAAGATGGCGGATTCGATATGGCGAAAGACATTAGTTTATATGATCATTACTCTACCACAAATAGAAAATATGTAGGATGCAAGAGTGAAAATAACGTGACTATAAGTTATACTGCGTATACCTACATCTTTGTTACTTTTATCAATCAATTGTTCGAAAATGACTTTCAATTTGAGGGGGACGGAAAAATTATATGTATAACATGGAGGTAAAGTATATTCTATTCTTTATTTTCCTGCATATTTTACGTATTACTTTTTATCAGCCTACTTTTCGTCCTAGACAAAGTTTTATACATGATATACGTGATATTAGTCACTCCATAAATTCCTCACCGAGCTGGATTTCCAAAAATATATTGAGCACACATGAATAAGTACAGTAGTTTCGGTTTCCATCATTTCTCAATCATAAGGCTCAGCTCATTAAGCTGATAGATAAACTTCTGCTCAGCTTGAAATCAGAATTCATTCAGTCAATTCAGTCAACCCTAGTATACAGTCTAAGAACAGTCTCTCTTAGTGAAATATATTAAGCTTTCAGTACAATTTTTATGTTCCCTACCTCGCAAAGATTATGCTGGAGTAGTACACTCTAAATCTAGAGGACTGTTCATCTATATCTTGGTATAGTTGAATCGGGAATTCCATATGGAAATTACGTATGATACGCCAGTGACCTCAATATAACCTAAAAAACAAGGAATGTCAAAAATCTAGTGTTTTTCCCTAGAATTGAATAAGGATGGAACTATATAACTGTTTCACAAACACTTTAGAGTGAGAGGAGACGAGGATCTGTCCGTACCCGGTTAGGATGACTTTAACGTCAATTTCCATCAAGGGACCCTAGTGCTACCTATATCAGTCATTGAATAAAAAGGTCCCTCGCGTCTGATGTGGTGTATGAATGGAATAATAGGTGTCGCCTCAATTTACTATTGGCACGAAAAGTACATGTTCGTTTTAACGACCATGGTGACCGAAAGGGTTAGGAACACACAATGTTCTTTGAACATTATAGGGATTCCCTTTCGTGCGCTCCAAGCAATAAAAAAAAAAGTTATACACTATAAATTTTCTAAGGCTATAATAGATAACAACAGCATTTTTGATTTCTTTGTCTTGAAGCCATCTGATTTCCTGTCAAGTAATGCTCATCTATTAGACAGAGCTGTCATTGCTTGAAATTTGAAAATTGTGATATCAAATACCCAAATGAAATTGATGACAAACAAAGTACCTCATTGATATATTGAAGACAGTTGTAGAAAAAGTACTTTTCCTCACATGTTGCACACTATACTTTTTCTACAACTGCACAAATTTAAAGAATAGAATTAATAAAACTTGATCATTCTATACCAATAGTCCAGCTGATAGTATTTCGCTACATTGAACATTGTGATCAAATAATAAAAGCCATTGAAGTTTTCAACATCTCTTCAAAGTATATCAGCTCATATATTATCAAAAGTACATTTCCGGAAAAAGATTTTATTTCTGTATTTTTCCCCATTCCATGAATTTTTCATATGCCAATTCATATTTTTATTGGAAAATTGAGGGTTGTCTGGAGAACACTAAACGTTGGATGCAAAATCTGAAATCGTCAAGCAAAGAGAATTTACTATGAAATGAAATCCCTCTGAGACATTGTTGGTAGTTCTGAAAATAAATGAAGGATAACCAAAAACTGAAATAATCAAATTTGGTTTTTTCCTCATATCTCAAGAACCGGTCCTGATATTTTCCATTAGTTTTCACAACTAGATGAACCTTGACTAGCAACTTTCTCTCCATTTAACCGACCTTCTAACTAGGATGGTTTGGAATCTCATTAAAAAAGTGGCCACCGTTATATACAGGGTAGTAGGGTGGTATATAAGACCGTCAAACTTCGTATGCAGAGTCCTTACCTCATTCTGAAGTGAAAAGTTCCTGTCAACGTATTTACTAAAATGCATCGTATCTGAGATATAGGGTGTCAAATCAATCAATGCTTCAATGTCTAAATGTAGCGGTTCCTAAGATATTTAACTAAACTCAATGTAAACAACTGGAAGGGAGAATTTTCTCAAAGAGCACAGGTTGTGTAAGGGGCAGCAGCAACAAAGATAGCTTGTGTTACGGTAACCTGTCTCTTTCACACTCCTGTTGTTTAATGGCGGTGTATGATTTTTTTATCCAATGATTGGATATTTTTTTATCTAAACAGACAAAAAAGTGAAGACAGAACCTCAGTATTTTTTGGTATGTGAAATATCCCTAAATTCGGCGTTTTGTTTCTGCAAAAGGACTGAATTTGTTGGTGTGAATTGTAACTGTCAAACTAGACATTTTGTGTAAACCGCCTACTAAGCGAAATGATACTGAAATAGTTTTTTTCCTACGAGCTTCATATCAGATGGAGGAAAATAAAAAAAAATATTATTGAAAAATGTAACTACACCAATCACATATAACAATGAAATATAATAATAGAAAATCACATTTTCCCTATGAGCTTAATATCAGAGAGAGAGAGAGAGAGAGAGAGAACATCTTTATTAGGGATATACCCCAAAAGGCCATTGACCGAAGTCTTTCAGCCCTTAATATCAGATTACAACGAAAATAAAAAAATTTCAACTTAAATTACAGTTTATTGAATAATTTTTAGTTAAACTTGATAGAAATAGCTAAACAACAAAAAATTACATATCAATAAAATATAATGATAGAAAATTAAATCATTTGTTCCTAATATTTATATTGAGGTGAAATACAAATATCGGGAAAAACGGTTGAAAAGTAAAAGGGCGGCTTCTTATAGTGCATACAATATTCTACAGCAATTAAAATGAATATAAATGTTCCATACCAGTGAGATTTCTGGGTAGTTTTACTTATCAGCACGCCGTGCGGATAACACCCATATCCGCACTGAGTGCGGAAAAGTATTACTTTGCGCACGCAAATGAGTGCGGAAAAGTACTACTTTGCGCACGCTTGTAGGAAAATACATTAATGTAGACTTATGAACAGATGTATTAGGACGATACATCAATTATTACAACAATTTCAGTTCCATGTATCCAAATGAATGATCATATCATGGCTGCATGGCAAAAATGACAGACAAATAGTTTCTTCACAAGTATGTTGATTATCGAATGTATACAATTTGTTACTGCACCGAAATACAAAAATGATGTGTCATTTTTTTCAATTCAATGTATGCTCTAGAGAGACATGGAGGGGGCTCATAGGGGTTCCATCTGAAAAAACTGAATATTAGATCAAAATGTGATGTGACTGAATTGATTCATCTCAATAATCCACGAAATAAAATGAAAAAAAAAATTTCGAAAAAATTTCATTTGTCATGATGATTGCATTTATTTTTACCTGTTGAACTTGAATATGTTGAAATATACAGTGTGTTCCATTTGAAAAAACAAAGTTACTAGCTAGGCTCTGGAATTCATTGCCTGAGGAAGTATTCCC